TTGTACTCTACTTGGTACTGTTATTGTTTGGAAAGAAACCACTAAAATGAATACAAACTTCTAATTGCTTATGTCTTTATAAGTTTTGCTACACTGAAAATAATAGATTTGTTGTTATTTGTCAATATTTATAAAGATCTTATTTTCATTGGCACAAACTAATGTTTAATTTTTAAAAATATAATTATTTGTTTATAATTTTGCTCTCAAATATTACCAAAACTAAGTACCATAAAAAGTTCATGACAAATGTAGGATTCAGTAATGTTGTTATGATCAAAAATTAATCATTAATCTCTAGGCATATTTTTAAGAAACATTTCAGCAGTGAGTGAAGCAAGAATTCACAAAAATATTTAATGTTTCTATATTAATGGTAAGAAGCATGGACTACATAGGTTATTTGATACTTGATTCTAACTTGATTCAAATTTCTCATAATTTGAAAGAGTTAAAGGGTTCTTAGAAATGCAGTGCAGCTAAGGGTAAGGAGAGAAGAAGAAATGGTATGAGAAAAACTAATGAGGAAAAATGGGAAAGCATATTCCCTATAAATGTAGAGAAATATAATCCACATATTCAATTTTCAATGGGAATTTGCCTTGTTGTTTCCCCACTGACAGAGCATGCATAGGTAAGTTATATACCTTAGGAAGAGAGAATATAATTTATGTGTAAAGTAGCCCTTCAATTTCACTAAAACGTTCATTACTGAAACCTATGAGCCATGATTCTTTCCATTTACAAGTTGTGTGTATCTATTCTGTTTTGGTTTTGTATTTCACTGTTTATACTGTTATAGTTTTCTTTAGTTTTATTTCTCTCCACATACTAACTTCAATTCAGTTCTCCAGCACTAGTTATCTTCATATAAGTATTTAAGGAATACTCATAAAGAGAGCCCCCTTGGATATATGACCAGGAAATCAACTTTCAAATTAAAAACTTTAAAGTTGTTATTGTTAAAGTTAGTATAGAAAATCTTGAAATATCATTTCATTCTTTACAATCTTTTGAGAGCTTATAAAACTTCCCATTCCAACTCCTGGTATATGATTCCTTACCAATAAAAGTAAATTATTTGGAATTGGATACATGACTCATTCCAATTTAATTAGTGATTAGCCATTAGAAGTCCCATTTATATAAGTATCTAGAAGAAAGGACATTACTTACAACTTCATCGTGCATATTTGCAACCAGGACATTTGTGGCACTAGCCTTTTTGACCACATAATCATATAGGGCTTCAGTGGGCACAGCATCACTTGGATTGGAGGCCACATGCTCCCAAAGAAACAGAGTTGACACTAGCAGCAACATAGAAACCCCTGCTGTCAGAGAAAAGGCAATGAGATGAGCTATATAAATGAGGTTACAACAGTTAAAGAATCTGGGAATGTACTCTGAAGGCCCTCTAGTATGTGATTTGGATTGATATACCTTCCTAGAGTATTCACTGTTACAACTGGGAAAAATGCAGAGAAATAGCTGCCTTTCTCCAGTACAGATTTTGAAACGTAAGAGAATTTTCACAATTTGCATTTGCCCCAAAGGAGCTTCTCAAGTTTGCAAACACATGGAGTTTGACTAACTGTGGGCCTGAGATTCCAAGTGATTATCTATACATATGTGAAATTCCAGAGAATTTATGTTTGTCTTTCATTTTTAAGTATATTACTATTGTAACTAATTTATTTTCCTCGTATGTGCCATTTAAAACTTACATGATGAGATAGTTTATTCAGATTGATTATAGATTCCTGTCTCTGTGCTTGAAGAAACTGCAACATTCATTTGTCTTGTGTTCTCAATATAGCCTTATTTTTCTATAATGTAAATTGAACACTTTGAGATGTATTACTTTTTGTTCTATGGTAGCACTTGAAATGGTAGGTGTTACAGAAGGTTCTTTTTTTAACTTTTATTTTTTTGGGTTTTGGAGACAGGGTTTCTCTGTGTAGCTTTGTAGACCAGGCTGGCCTCAACTCACAAAGATCCTTCAGCCTCTGCCTCCCCAGTGCTGGTATTAAAGGCATGTGCCACTACTGACCAGCTAACTAATAGTTCTTAAATACCACTAACACTGAACCTTCTGTTAATAAAGAGAACACAAAATAACTCTGAGCATTGCCTTGTGTCTGCAACACAAAGAGCACACCATTTGAAAAACTCTGAGCTTTTTCAGCTCTGTACTGACTTGTCCCTAAATGAAGCATTATCAAATATCAGTTCCCCAGAAATAAGGAACAGAGCATACCAAAGATAATATACTATAATAAATATAAGGCTTACTGAGATACTAGACTTAGAGGTTCATGCTGAATGTCTACTTACCAGGTCTTAGTAAAGTTGAAGAGAGCTGCATCTCTGAGATGATCGACAATATGATCTTCAATTTGGGAAGGCTGCTTCACCTAAGGGCTGCCTTCAGTGAACTCAACAGATCCTATTTATACTACTAGATTATATGCAGATACAGGCAGACCTGGAGGCCAATTTTAATTAATATCTATATTGCCCAACATTCTTCCCTCAGGGAGTATTAGCATCCTCCCTACTCTTACTACAGTTATATGACCATGTGTGTCATGCTGCATTTCCCAACTATGATCCACAGAGTTCAGTCTTTCTCCAAATCAGCAAGACAATCTCTTCTAATTCATTACTCAGTTTCAGGTAAGCAGGAGAAAGAACCTATTTTTCCCTATTTCAAGGTCTTAACATGTCTACCATGTCTTCTGCAATGTTCCCTAGTGTTTCCAGTAAGGATGAATGCTTTCAATAATCTAATATGTCCCCATAAGTCAATTATTTCAGACTGTTTTAACTAAAAACAAATCTCTTTCATTAACCATTAACACTGTAAAGTATGTAGCTCTATATCAACAGGTCTAAACACAAATATTTAGAAGGCATTTTGACAAGTACATCATATCTACTTATGCAAAGTCTATTTATAAATGCAGATCATGACATTTGTAAACATCTTGTTTTCCTGTCTTACACTATAATATATTGATTGCTTTATGTGGCTTGAGACTGAAAACAAATCATGTAAATATTGGTTGCAATGGCATCTGCTGTACCATGGTTTCCCTACTTGCCACACTTTGCCAGGGTTGCTAATGGGCTCATCATGTCACTGAATAATAGCAAGTTTAGGCAATTATCCTTAAATATTCTACATAGTGACTGATGGCATCTTGAAAGATATTCCATGTTATAAAAGGTTCTGTAACATAGAAGCCCAAAATTCCCATGTTGTTTGAGCAAAATTTTCAATTTCTTTACCAATTGTTGTAATCA